ATACCTTTTACCCCTGATGAAACTAAAAGAACTGCCAGGAAACCAAAACTAAAGAATGTGATAGAGCTCTGGAACACTTTCTACACACTATTCTATTTCATTTTCTACTTTGTTAATAGAGTAGCTAAGAGAAGAAAAACAAAAGCATAAAGATGAAAATAACATGTGCATCCTTTTTCACACCAAAAGTATTCCAACCCAGGTGCTCATGCATGTACAGCACAAGCTTTTCCCACAAGGACAAGTCCACACCGTGCACAACACAACTACATGATGAAGATTCTACAGAAGTCTAACTGGCTATGTAGCCTAGGCAACAGGTTTTTTGTTTTTGTTTTTGTTAGTAGCTGGATCATGCAAACTGGTTAAGAAAGCACTGTTTATTGGCTGCAAAAATCTTCAAAAGCAAAGAAATCTTTTTAAAAGTTAGGTTTAGGGAAGCCATGACTAAATGTGTACTGGGGTGGTGGGATGCAACACAAGGAAGCACCCATGATTAATCCCTAGATCTTAAAATAAAAAAATTCATCTTAATTTCACTCCAATTATGTATTAATGTCCCAAAAGGCAAAATTGGGAAGAATTTTACCAACATAGGTGAAGCTTATGAGCAGTTTGATAAATACAGGCTATGCCCACATAACTATTGACCAATAGTAGTAACCACAGCAAAACTAGTCAAAGCAGCCTCTCTCCTACCACTACTAGAACATGGAGTCTGTGCCTACTAACGCTAATCAGGGACTACTCATATAAAGGCATACCATTTTCATTTGAACTGAAAGCAATTTGGATATTTACTCCCACTAGCTTGAGCTATTTATATACTAAAAATTAAAGAACAATTTAAAAAAGCCAAGTTTCATATAATCATCCAAACAATATTTTCTCATGTATTTATGCCAAATAATTGATACTTTGCCTAAACTTTATACATAGGATGTACAATACTAAAAAAAAAGAGGATTGCAATGTTGTCCCCAACTTCGCTTAAAACTCAAGATTCAGTGCTTCATTAAAAAGGCATGCTGCATTAAATGCTGCATTAAAAAGGCATGCTCCTCAAGCTCAACACAGGGCATGCCTTGGCTGGCAAAAAATAAAATTAAAAAAAACCCAACATGTAAGTAACAGTTACAGGGTTTCATGCCAACAAACCAATGACCAACAAGGATGATTAGAGTCTAAATGGAACTAAGTCACAAGCTGTTTGCTCTTTTGATAATGACTCAAAAGCCAAAGCACACACATTAACCCATGGCAGGGTCATACCACTGGACTTGAGCAGCTTGGATTTCTCTCCTTCCTGGCTTGCAGTCTTTTGCAAAGGTGTAGTAAATCCTCGAGACTTGGTAGGTCTCATGTAGCCTTTCACTGGTTCCGTCACTCCTGCTCTATCTTCCTTCTTCCGTTCACTCAGCACCTTCAGTTCAGATATCCCCATCGTCTTCTGAGGAGCTTCAATCTCACTACTTTTCAACTGTGGGACTTGAGAATCCTTGTAAGCAGTCACCAGTAATTTACCTTCTCTCTCAATACTGCCACATGAGAAATCAGACTGTTCTGTTGTTAGCATGGTAGCACATTCCAGTTTTGTGACTTCACAAGACAGACTAGTTTCTTTTAACTTATCCTTTTCATTTTCTGGAGGCAAAAGAATAGTATCTACCTTCTCATCCAAGCTATCTGAGCCCTTGGAATCTCTCTCTCTCTCATTTTGATCCTCAGACAAACTGAATTTCTGTGCTTTACCTCTCAGAGTGTCAGAGTTTTGATTTGGAGCAGAGTCTTTCTCAGTTCTTTTCTCTTCATTCACTAGAGATACTGGCAAACCACCACTACCTGCACGTGTTTCTATGACTGTGACCTCTTCTGGCAGGTTCTGGCTTTTTGTGGGCAAACCAGCAAGGAAGTGTCCCTTAGCTGGCTCCGTAACATGCTGTGCAGAATGTGTAGAGGGCCCATCCTGCTCTAACTCAGATTCTTCCACCTCATGCCTTTCAGGGATGATCCCTACTTCATTCTTCCTGCAATCTGAAAGCTTACCTTTATTCTCAAGAGAATGATCTCCATGACTGTTAAACTTTCCTTGGGCTTCTGTAGAAGTCCTAAAAACTTCTGACCTAGTAGTGGGCACAGTAGCAGAGGGACCCTTGGACCTTTCTTGACCTGGGACTCCATCTTTACTGTAAGTATCTTGTACTAATAATCTGGAGTTTTGGTCTAGGAACCTCTCTTGCCCACTTTTTCTAGAGGTGTCAGGGAAGGAGTCATCTTCCTTTACTATTTGAGGAGTAGGGCAGGGCAGTGTTCCACAGCCTGCTGATCCAATGACCTCTGGGGGAGCTGACTTACTTATTGGGCCTGACAGTGCTCGCCCAGAGGTAAATGTAATATTTCTATTTTCATCCATATACCCCATTTCTTCAATTCTGAAGCCTCCTGTGGTTTCCAAGGGAATATGTATTTTTGTTGTATCTGTCCTAATCTCTAAAATGTGCTTCTCGGGAAAAATATTTTTAACTTTTTTACATTTCCCGTCATTGCTCCTTTTATTAGGTTTGACAGCCACTGCAGTGTGTCCCTTGGCTACCCATGTCTTGTTTTCCTCAGGTTCTAGTGAGGGAACAAATTCTGCCCCCCAGATTGGGTATTGGGAGCTCCCATCTGTCACCTTGGCAGCTGGCTCAGTAGTAACAGTAGAATCTTGGATTGAATTTGTTTTATTCCCCACAAGAGTCCCAAATTCAACTGAATTAGATTCAACATTCTTACTCTTTTTGTCTGCAACTTCCACTGTGGGTGTGTGTGATGTGTGTGAGAATAAAGGATCCTGTATTTTAGGGAAAGTCTGCCCTAATTCCCTGTTTTCATGGGCTATGTCACCGTTATCACTCTCCTTTTCTATAGAAGGCAGGCTGATGATTTCCTCCTTGCCCTCCATTCTGCTAGGCTGTACAGAGTAATTATTTTTAAACTTTTTGTTTCTGCCTTCATTGCCTCTCTTTTTAGTCTTTTCAGAAATCCAGGGAGTTGACTCATGATCTATCCAAGGACACTTCCCTTCCTTGCTCTGGTTACTGATGCCCATATTTTTAACCTCACCTCTTTTTTCTGTCCTAGCCTCCGAAGCCAGAGCCAAGCTTGACCCAGTTTCCAAAGGAATCAAGGGTGATGTGGTGCCTCCCACACCAGCATCAGCCATGTCTTTGGCCACCCTCACCACTGCCTCCGTGAGATCAGTAATAGCCTCTGGTTGCTTTGAAGAATCCAAGCCTAGCCCTCTTCTCGAAGCCTCAATATTCACTATTTCAAGTTCAGGGACTGGCTTCCTCGACACAGGAACAGCTCTCCCATCCTTCTCACTATTCAGAAGGAATGACACCTCAGATTTGGCTCCTGCCTTCCCAGAGCCTGTTCTGACTTTCCCAGGACCCCTTCCCTTTCTGTTTTTGCTGTCACCCATCATTCTCTTAAACGGCTCACGCTCTAGCCCAGGGTCCTGAATTAACTCTTGGTCTCTCAGCTCCTTAGAAACACACAGGCTGGTTCCTTCTCCTTGCTTGGGGGATGTCTCTGGTTTGAGTTCTTTAACATCCTTTACTCTGTCAGGAAACACCTGCAGCTTAGTCATTTTACTTTCACCATTTCCTTCCTTTAGACAGTCTTCGAATGGATTGTCTGCTGTTGAAGTGAGGGTCAAATTTGATAGTACTTTTTCTGTTGTGGGTTTTGAAATACTATTCATAATCTCTTGGCCCAATATGGGGGAACAACCCCCTAGGAGAGTTGTCACTTTGTGTGCAGCACTGCCTATCAGGGATCCTTCCAAATTGGATGAGCCCACTGTCCTGCTTGTATCCAGGTGTGGTGTAGCTGGGGATCTGAGTTCCTCTTGCTGCAGCAAGTTCTCATCTTGGTTCTTTGGTACTGAGCTGTTACCTCTGTGGTCTTCCTCTACTCTCAGCTTGAGCTGAGCATTTACCACAGTCTCTGGAGGTTGTTCTGTACATGAAGTAATGCTGTGACTCTCTGCACAATCACACTTCAAGATTTCCCTGGATACAAGTCCATATTGTGTGCCCACAGTAGTAGGATGACTGGGACCAACACCTGACTTCAGGGGCCCAGGTGCAACAGAATGATCTTTGGGCTCATCTGTATTGTCATTCCAAGGTCCCCCAGTCCGGGACTGAGGATATCTCTTTTGCTTTGGTTTCTTCTTCTTTTTCCTCATCATCACTGGCATACTTTCTATATCCCTGGCCTCCCTACTATCATCTCTTTGGGGTACTAGGAAATCAGCATGAGTACTCTTTTTTTGGTTCCCATGATCACCAGAGGAAGATGAACCAGAGACCAAACCCAACTCAGACAATGGATAGGGGCCCAGCATGGGATCAAAAGTCTTCCATGAAGGAGAACATTCCAGCAGCTCAGGAGGGACCCTGGCAGGCCTGGCCCGGGCTGACCTGCGATCACTGGGTCTGCAAACTTGTTTACCTTGTGAGGGAGGGGTACCTGCAATACATGAACTTGGCTAAATTCTAAACAACAAATTCCTTATAAACATCTTTAAAAAGAAAGTTTACTTAGTGATTCATTTAAGCAGCCTATTTTCACAGCATTCATTCTCAAAAGCTTTTTTCCATGACATTTTTCAACTCCTGCTAGGGTAATCAAAGATCATCACTTGAGGTCAAGAATTTTTTTCAGATATATTTATCAAATATTAGAACATTTAAAATTTTTACCTTATTAAATAAGTTGGTTGAGTAAATTAAGACTGAAATAACAAGCTGAAGACCTGACAGAATAGTGAACAGCTCAACTGGATCAAAATTTAGTGTCCGCAACTGACAGAACAGTAAATATGTAAGATGGTCTCACCTTCTGCCTAAAGCAATAAATTGTATTGCTAATAATTATCACCACACAACACAGGTGCCATCATCATCTCACCACTCATAACTGCAATATATGAAGTGTTCCCAACTTACCTGAAGAAAGTTCAGAAGGCTGACTGCCAGATGTTTCCTTTTGCTCTAAGTTCTCTAGAGAACCTTCATCTATTGGCAAGTTAAACTGTTGGTCTGCAGCTTTGACTGGTTCTAAAGATAATAGTAAAATTCATGTAAGTTTCAGAGAAATAGTATTTCAACTATATTTTTCATCTGCCATAAACTGGCAGATGAGAATGTGGTTTTGCTTTGTTTGTTTGTTTTGTTTTGTTTTACGAGACAGGGTTTCTCTGTGTAGCTTTGGAGCCTATCCTGGCACTCGCTCTGAAGACCTGGGTGGCCTTGAACTCACAAAAATCCGCCTGCCTCTGCCTCTGCCTCCTGAGTACTGGGATTAGAGGCATGCGCCAACAACGCCTGGCTTTGAGAATGTTTTAGAGAATTCTCCTGCACTAAACAACAGAAAAACTAGAAGACTGGCGGGGCAGTTGGAAGGCAGGGTCAAGAGAGTTCCCTGGTTTTTTTCCTTCTTTAGAACCATTTTTTTAAAGATTTTATTTATTTATTATATATACAACATTCTGCTTCCGTGTATATCTGCATACCAGAAGAGATCACCAGATCTCATAACGGATGGTTGTGAGACACCATGTGGTTGCTGGGAATTGAACTCAGGACCTCTGGAAGAGCAGTCAGTGCTCTTAACCTCTGAGCCATCTCTTCAGCCCTAAAACCAATGTTTAATTATCTTATGTGGACAAGGAGCATGCATGTCACAGCATATATTTGGAGTTCAGAGAACAGTTTGTCAGTTGGTACGCTCCATTCACCATGTAGGTCCCAGTAACTGAACTTAGGTTGTCAGGATTGATGTCTGGTGCCTTTACACAATGAGACATCTTACCAGCACTATTTTTTTTTTCCTCTGTAGATAAAACAAAATGAAAACTAAAAAACAAACACAGAAAAGAAAAACAAAAAAAGCTGGAGGGAATGATCCAATGGAATGGAGATTTAGTTAATGATTAACTGAAAAGAGAAGGATGGCTGGGAAACAGTGTACTTTTTGCCAAGTGAGGAGCAGTTGGTTTTACTTAAGACAGACTACCCATAAAACAGCAGAAAGGCAGAGGTAGTGCATAAATACAAGTCACTATGTAGATGAGGTAGTGGTGGTTTCTGGAGCTTGTTTTACTGCCTCATTTGTCTAGAAGAAAAGCAAGGATGAGCACAGAATGGGACTAACCATCAGAGGAAGGAGAGGGTGAGAACACTGATTGGGAGGAATGAGTGGACCTATAAAGCAACCAGGCCGTATTTTACCAGGCATGACACCTGTCCCTTACAGAGAATACTGAGAGAAAGCGGGAGCCCATACCTGGTAGAATCATGCAAGGAGGTATTGCTGACTGCCCCTTGTGCTGGACAGATTGTAACTGGGAGTCTTCGCCGAATTCTTCTTGAGCCTGTTCATTTTCTTTGTTTTCAATTTGTACTGCTGCTACTTCTAGTTCTGAGGGTAGTGTAATATCCTTGGCTGGAGTCACATTGTTGTCCAGGGTCAACTCTGTTTCCGAGGGCAGAACAGCATCCTTACCCAGGGGAGCCTCTGTTTCTGGGGGCAGAGATATATCCTTGACAGAGGCCACCTCTTTTTCTGAAAGTGGGGTAGAACTGTTGAACTCAGTCACCACCTGTTTTTCTAGAAGCGTAACCACTTCTTTGCCCAGAGACACTTCTGACTCTGGGAGTGAAGCCATATCTCTGACCATGTCAATTTTTGTTTCAATAGGTGGAGCAATTTCCTTAGCCAGGGTCATTTCAGTTTCCAGAGATGGAGTCATGCCCTTGACCAAAGATCCCTCTGTTTCTAAGGGCAATGTGGCATCCTTTGTCAAAACCATAGGGGTGTCTGAGGGCAGGGCCATCTCTTCAGCTGTAGAGGACTCAGCATCCTTTGCCAGGGACACTTCTATTTCTGACAGTGAAACCATGCCCTTGACTGGGGCTAGCTCTGTTTCTTTGACAAGTGCCATATCCTCAGGTGGTACCAAGTCCATTGCTATCGGGAGTGTCATCTCTGTTTCTTTGGGCAGTGTCACATCCTTGTCTGGGACCATTTCATCTTCTGTGGGAGGTGCCATACCCTCAGTCAAAGATACATCTGCTTCTGTCGGCAATATGATATCCTTCACAGGGGTTACCTCTGTTCCTACACATAGTTCCATGTCCTCAGCCAGGGATATATCTGATTCAATGGATGGCTGCAAGGCATCTGACAATATCACATCTGGTTTGGTAGCCTCTTCAGCATCTTTAGCCAATGCCACTTCTGTTTCTGTGCCTGGTGTCATGTCTGTGGACAGAGACACATCTGTTTCTCTACATGGTACCACATCAGTGGTCTTCTCTTCTGCCATCATTTCCAATTCTTTAGTTGGAAGTTGCTCTTTTACTGATTTCACTTCTATTTCCTTGGATAGCTCTATGGAAATTAAGTTTAAAAAATTTAGACCTAACAGGGTTAGAGAGATGGCTAAGAGGTTAAGAGCACTAGCTGTTCTGTCAGAGGACCTGGTTTCAATTCCCAGCACCTACAGGGCAGCTAATAACTATCTGCAAATTCAATTCCAGGAGATACACAACAACCTCACACACAAATACATGCAGACAAAATATCAAAGCACATAGAAATAAAAATAAGGAAAAAAATATTAAAAAAAAAATTAGGGCCTAGCACTAACTACTCATAACCCTGAATTTGAAAATTACTTCCAGGCTACACAGAGAAACCCTGTCTCAAAACAAAACAAAACAAAACGAAAATTACTTTCTGGGCTGGAGAGATGGCTCAGCAGTTAAGAGCAGTGACTGCTCTTCCTGAAGACTAGCATGGTGGCTCACAAGCATCTATAACTCCAGTTTCCAGAGACTTGATGCTTTTTTCTGGCCTCTGTGGGTACACTTACACAGACAGAACAGTCACACCCAGAAAATTTTAAGTTATGAAAAAAAAAAAAAAAAAAAAATAAGCCGGGAGTTGGTGGCACAAGCCTTTAATCCCAGCACTTGGGAGGCAGAGGCAGGCGGATCTCTGTGGGTTCAAGGCCAGCCAGGTCTACAATGGCTACTTCCAAGACAGGCTCCAAAGCTACACAGAGAAACCCTGTCTTGAACAACCAAAAAAGTCATTATTTCTTGGCTTTTGACTATGATCAAGTATAGTAAGAATACAAGATGTGAAGCAGACATAGCCAAGAGAGAAAGTACATGTTTAAAAGAACAGTTACATAAATCAACCATAAACAATAAATCAATCACAATAAAAGTTTGAGGCCAGCCTGATCTACATAGTGACTTCCAACCCAGACAGGAAGGATTTTATAGTGAAACCCTGTCTCAAAAATAAAGAAAAAAAGACAAATTTGTTTATCTATATCTGCTATAAGCTACTGGGGAAAGTGAGGGCTCTGTGATTACTAGCGCCATAACCAATAACTGACAAAGTAGCTTTTAATGATTTACCTGCTGCCGGCTGCAGGGTTTCTATAACTACTTCTGGAGAAATGAAGGACTCTGGGTGTGGAGAGTTTGAGGCTTCCACAGACCACTCCGGAGATACAACAGCCATGGGACCAAGCGAGTCCCTGGGAAGCATACCTAATATTGAAACACAGTTTATATTGTGGTCATCAATGGACTGTGAAAGGTATTTGACAGCTTACATCAGTGATGTGTTGTCAAGAAGACACAAACCCAAGAACCAATAAAAGCAGAGGTTTTATAGGAAAGTCTGCTAGCACTTTTCAGCTTTGGATTAATTGCTGGTTTTTAAAGATTTACTTATTTTGGTGCTATAGTTATTAGCGTCTGCATGTGACTGTTGCATCAAACTCCTGATCCTTTGCAAAAACATCAAGTGCTCTTAATACCTGAGGCACCTCACTGCCCAGGTTTGAGATAAATTGTTACCAGGCAAGAGTAACACTATACCCTAGTAGCACCAGGGATGCCTGGAAACCCTGACTCAAAAAACCAACAGCCCTCTTAAAGAAAGCACAAAGACACCAACAAGACAAGAAGCTGCTGAACTGTGCTATCAATCTTATTCAAGTAGGTCTGGCATATCCTACAGGACAAACAGGACTGAAGAAATCATGGGGAAATGACCTGAAAAATCAAAGACATTTAAAATTGCATAAAGAATGTCTATAAAAACATAGATATTCAGGGATTCAGGATGAGCAATAGAAGTGGACTATTTAGACTGGGGCTAGAAAAACTGATTAGGAGACTAATGGGGTGATCTAGATGTGACGGGGTTTAAACTGGAAGAAAGCTAAGAGGATACAAAAGAATGTAAGGCATAGTCTACAAAAAGAGAGCATGACGGCACACAGCTGTAATGCTAGCTACCATCAAGGTTGCAGGATCATGAATGTGAGCCTACTCCAGACAACACAGTAAGACTTTGCCTAAAAATAAATGGATTATCATTGACTTCAAAGGAAAGGAACAGAAAAGAAAGTGCAACCAAAACAGACGAGATGCCAACAGACAAGATGCGGGTACGACTTACTGATAAATGTTTACAATGCACCCAACACCATGCTATATTTTTAACATAATTTTCTTTAGTCATCATCATATCTCTAAAGTAGGAACAACCACTGGCTCCACTGTATATATTTAAAAGATCAATGAGAAAGGCTGTGGTTCAGCTGGACTGCTAGCCCAGCAAGCATCAAGACCTAGCTGTGGTCTAGTGCTTCATAAAAAAGGTGCCGGTGATATCCATATATAATCTCAGTACTTGGTAAATGGAAGTAATAAGAGTAGAAAAGGTAATTCTTTGCTATATAACAAATTTGAGGCCAGTCCAGGACACATAAGGTCCTATTTTCAAATAATAATAATATTAAAAAACCAAAATTTTGTTAACAATTTCTTCTAGACCATGAGAAGCAAGATATGGACAAAGAATCTGACCATACTTCATAGGACTCAAGGTTTTATGAACAGCCCAAATGTGAATTCTCTAATTTGCCACTAGAGATCCTAGAAATCTTTACCCTTTCTGTTTTTCAGTTCAAGGTGCTATGGAATATGGTGTTTTAATGGTATCTCTTCCTTAGTTCCATGAATACTCTGTGTGTGTGTGTGTGTGTGTGTGTTAATGGGACCAGTAATACCACACAAACATACACACAAATTCATTTTTCATAATTTCCCATTAGTCCAGGTGGGATGGCCCAATAACTAGGAGGTGGAGATTAGAGAAATCAGGAATTCAAGACTTTCCTTGGTTACATAGCCAAACGTTGCCTAAGCTGATTTCCTTTTTTTTCTTTTTCTTTCTTTCTTTTTTTTTTTTTTTAAAGATTTTTATTTATTTATTATGTATACAGTCTTCTGCCTGCATGCCAGCAGATGGCATCAGACCTCATTCAAGGTGGTTGTGAGCCACTATGTGGTTGCAGTTTATTGAACTCAGGACCTCTGGAAGAGCAGTTAGTGCTCTTAACTGCTGAGCCATCTCTCCAGCCCCTGATTTTTTCTTTTTTTCTTTCTTTCTTTTTTTTTTTTTTTTTCCCCGAGACAGGGTTTCTCTTGTGGCTTTGGAGGCTGTCCTGGAACTAGCTCTTGTAGACCAGGCTGGTCTCGAACTCACAGAGATCCACCTGCCTCTGCCTCCTGAGTACTGGGATTAAAGGCATGCGCCACCAACGCCCAGCCCCTGATTTCTTATATAGAACTTTCCTCAAAATTTTTATTGTATTTTTCTCTTAATCAATTGTCATTTATTGTATGCATCTCTGTACAATGACATAATGATCCTAGTTGAAGCCATACCGTAATTGTCACCCAGAGGATCACTTTGCCCTATAAATGCTGAAGCATTTGGGGGTCCACTAGAGGCAAAGAGCAGATCTGCCAGGCCATCATCATGGTGGACCTTTAGAGGATCTAGAATGAAAATAGAATCAAAGACACACACACACACAGTGATTGCAATTAGAAAAGATTATTATTTCTTATTTCCTATAAATGTTGATTTGTTACATTTGTACTGCCAATAGTAAATCAAATAACTACACAACAAAGAAACATTCATTAACTCATTTGTTAATTGAAAATTATAATCCATTGTTTTCTTAAATGTGATTATCTAGGAGAGCCATCAAACATAAAGCCTCATGAATGAACTCTTAATACTCTACCTTAGGACTAAAGAAGTATAGAGGAAACTAAAATTTCAATATGCTAATAGACATACTTTTAAGGTATTAAAAAATAGGAGCTATGGAAATAGCTTTGTTTGTAAGTGCTGGCCATAAAACCATGAACACCTGAGTTTGATCCTCAGCACCCACAAAAACCAAACCAAACCAAAACAAAATAAAGCCAAACAAACAAAACAAAAAAACATGCTTATTATTTCAGTATGGAAGATGCAAACACACAAAAATTAAAAGCCAAATAACAAAATGTATGTTGGAGGCCAGGCCAGGCCAGCCAGGGCCACATAGTAAGAAGTTATCTACCCTTAAAAGTAAAATCTTGGGACTAGAAGACAACTTAAAGTCAGGCCTGCTATTACTGCAGTAATTCTTATGGAAAAAGTTAGGGCTCGAAGGGATTCCTGAACCTTTAACATACATGAATGTGAGACAATATTAGTAATTGGTTTTGAAAAGATTTAAAACAAAACAAAACTACAAGGGCCTGGAGAGATAGCTCAGAGGTTAAGAGCACTGGCTGCTCTTCCAGAAGTCCTGAGTTCAATTCCCAGCAACCACATGGTGGCTCACAACCATCTGTAATGAGTTCTGGTTCCCTCTTCTGGCCTACAGGCATACACACGGGCAGGCAAAACAGTGTACACATAATAAATAAATCTTAAAAAAAAAAAAAACTACATGGAATTAAGGGCTTTTGATGAAAGGTTAAATAAAGCAGGGCATGCCTGACCCACCCCTGTAACCCTGGCATTTTGAAAGGCTGAGGTAGGAGAATTGCTGCTGTAGACTACAGTGTGAGACACTATTTCAAACACAGAAAGGATAAATAAAGATAAAGGTCCAAGTGAATGTTTATGGAAAATGCCTTACTGAGGTATTTTGAAGCCAAAATGCTTTAACTTGTCACCTACTTACAACCTCACAGCTACACTCAGCAGTCACACATAGCCTGCACTTACCAGCCTGGTTAGTACCTAACACTTGTTGAGGCTGGAAACAAAAGCTTGCATCTTCTGGCCAGTTCTGGCTGTTCTGATATTCCTGGTAGGCCATTTTCTCTTCAAGGAAGTCAGTAGGAGACCCTTAAGATACAAACAAAAAAAAATTACAAGATACCACTGTTTCCAGTCTTCTAGAATTTACACGTTACAAATAGTCCAATATAACACATTCACATCTAATAAACACCTTTCAGGGGAAATTTTTTTTCTATGTTTTTGAGACAGGTTTCTCACTCTATAGCACTAGCTGGCCTGAAACTATCTGCCTATGTCTGTTTCTTGGACTACTGAGATTAGAGGTGTGGGCTACCAAGCCCAGAAAGGAGGGGAAAAAAATGTTTCTTAAAGCTAGAAAGCTATGGAAAGGTACTCGGTTGTCAAAAATTAAAGATTCAGTATTAAGGTAATTATTGGACAAGCAAGACAGCTGAGCGGTAGAGATACCAGATAGCAAGCCTGATGATCTACGTTCAGTTCTTAGGACCCACACGACAGGAGGAGGAACCAACTCTGCAGGCTGCTGACTACCTCCCACATGTGCAACATACACACATGAAAATTTAAAGAAACAAAGGCAGTTCTCAAACCAACCAATAGTTTCGAGGTATTTCTTGAATTGTGGCTTTCTGGCTAAAATAAGTTTAGATTTGGGGCTGGAGAGATGGTTCAGAGGTTAAGAACACTAACTGGTCTTCCAGAGGTCCTGAGTTCAATTCCCAGCAACCACATGGTGGCTCACAACCATCTGTAATGAGATCTGGTGAACTATAGGCAGAACACCATATATAATACATAAATCTTTTTAAGAAAAGCTTATATTCAAAGCAAATAAAATTTAAAAACACAGAAGTTTTAAAAGCTGTCTATTGTATACTCTATACAGAAGCTAATAATTAAACACTCAAGTACTGTTACACAGATAAGAGCTCAAAAGCAAAAACTCCTGTTAAGAGTCAATTGACACCAGGTGGTTGTGGCACACATTTTAAATGTCAACACTCTTGGAGGCAGTGGCAAGTGGATCTCTGTGAGTTCAAGGCCAACCTGGTCTTCAAGATGTACCAGGAGAGCCAGAGCTATTAAACAGAGAAACCCTGTCTTGAAAAACAAGATTGCAATTGGCTAATCCCAACACTTGGGAGGCAGAGGCAGGTGGATTCTGTTGAGTTAAGAACAGCCTGATAAACACAGCAAGTTTCAGTAGAGTCAGAACTAGATAGTGAGACCCTATCTCCAATTTAATTAAAAAAAAAAAAAAGAAGAAGAAGAAAAAGAAAAGGTGTGTGTGTGGGGGGGGTAGGACCCATTGGGTTTCACAAAAGATGCCAACATAAACAGTTTAAGAAGGGGACTGAGACAGTTTCACTATGTAGCCTAGCTGGGTGGATCACACTTCCAGGATGTAGACCACCTTGATCTTGGACTTATTTCCTGAATACTGTAGTCCCAAGTGTAGCCACCATTCCCAAGTGGCTACAATCACAAGTGTGGCCCACCATTCCCATATGGCTGTTTTTTGTTTTGTTAATTTTCTTAATGTGTATGAGTGTTTTGCCTGTGAGTATTCATATGCCTGGTCAAAAGAGGGCATCAGATATCTGGAACTTCAGTTATGAGACAACATACGGATACTGGGAACCAAACCCAGGACTTGCCTCCTGAGTGCTGGGATTAAAGGTGTGTGCCACCAACGCCCAGCTCAAACTCACAACTTCTATAAGAACAACCTTTACTCTAACTACTGAGCCATTCATCTCTCCAGCCCCTGATAGTTTTTCATCAAGGAACACAGAAGCAACTGGATACTTTATTACACTGTCTACAAAAGTTGATGCCAGATACAAAGATCTAAAAACAAGAGTTATAGTCTTAAAAACTTGTAAAATGCTAGGAGAAATCTCAATGGTCTTCAGATTATGTAAAGATATGTTGGTACATTAACAAAACAGCACTATCCACAGTGAAAAGACAATTCAAATTAGACATCAAAATTTCAATTGATGAACAAGGCAGAACAGCACACAACTGTAATTCCAGTACATGAGAGGATCATAAAGGCAGGAGGATCAGGAAGACCAGATTTCACTTGGTGAGACTGCCACAACACACACACAATTTAGAAGACCATGAACCTTTATTAAAGGACTTACATTCAGAAATGGTTAAAATAAATTGTAATTCAATTATAGATCAATTTAATAAGTCATTTCAATAAAACATATACAATGGACACTACACATAGAAAAGCAGCTCATTATTATTAGCACTTAGGGAAATACAAATTAAAATGCTAATGGGGAGCCAGAATATTAAATATTAAAAAGCCTATAACCAGATAGGGTATACTGAATGGTAAAGTGCTTGTCTAGCAGGCACAAGGCCCTGAATTTAATCCCAGGCACTGAGAGGGAGAGGGAGAGGGAGATTGAAGACTGAAGACTGAAGAGATGACTCAGTGGTTAAGAGAAATTGCTGTTCTTGTAGAGGATACAAATTTGGTTCCTAGCACCCATAATGAGTGGCTTGCATCTGATACCTCCTCGGGCCTCTGTGGGTATCTGCACTCAAACAAACACTCACATTTAAGCTCAGTATTCAGGAGGCAGAAGCAGGCAGATCTGTGTGAGTTCAAGGACACCCTGATCCAAACGTCAAATTCCAGGCTAATGACACCTTGTATCAATCAATAAATAAAAATTAAAATATGATCACTAAGACTGACAATACCAGAAGATTTTAATGGTTTAGAAAACCTGGAAACTTTCTGTTAAGAATGTAAAACAGACCAGGTGATGGTGGGGCACAACTTTAATCCTAGCACTTGGGAGGCAAAGGCAGGTAGATCTCCGAATTCTAGGACAGCCTGGTCTACAGAGTTCTAGGACAGGCAAGGGTGCAAAGAAAACTCCTGTTTAGAAAAGGAAAAAGGAAAAAAGAATGTAAAATGGCACAGGCAATTTGGAAACGCTTGATGGTTTCCTTTGTTTATTTAAATATTTGTGAGAGAATGTGAGTTTATATGTGGAGGTTAGATGAAAACTTCCAAGAGTCTATTCTCGTTGTCTCCTTGTACCACATGGGTCCTGGGTTATTAAACTTAAATTACCAAGCTTGGCAGCCAGTGCCTTTACCTGCTGAGCCAATTTTCCTTTCATTGTTTAAATACTATCTTTATTGAGGTGTAATTCACATCAATGAAACTCATCCTTTTTAAATGCAGGATTCAGGGGGTGGTATAGTGACAGATTATGTGCTGGCTCTAACTTTGGAACAGTTTCTTCATTGTCAAAGAGAAATTCTGTAACCTTCCATTGCTCAAGTCTACATTATACCCTGACATCTATGGACTTACTTGTATCAGATATTTCATATAAATACAATCCTTATATATGTAGCCTTTGTAACTGGCCTCTTTCATTTACAGTAATGATTTCAAAGTTCTATCGCACTGTATTGTAACTCAGCATTTCCTTCTTTCCAAATAATATAGCCAAATGATACTCACACTGTTATCCATTCCTTGGCTGAGGGTTGGTTGGCCCTACTTTTTTTGGCTATTGTATAGCCTATAAACACATAAAATCTATATTCTTAAATGTATGCCTGTAAGTAGAATTGTAAGGTCACACAACAATTTCATGTGGAATATTTTTAGGAGCTGTGAAACCTTTTGAAAATGGCCAAACATTACTGTGTAATTCCAACAACAATACATAATTGGCCTTATTTTTTTCCATGTCTCCATCAGTGCCCATCTTATTTTAGGTCCATACTACATCTGACTGTGATACAAAGTATTATATTATTCTGCTGAGGTTTTTTTCTTTTTCTTTTTTCAGTTTTTCAAGACAGGGCTTCTCTGTATTGCTTTGGAGGTTTTTCTGGAACTAGCTCTTGTAGACCAGGTTGGCTTCAAACTCACAGAAAACCTCCTGTCTCTGCCTCCCGAGTGCTGGGATTAAAGGCATGAGCCACCAAGACATCTTTTCTTTTTCTTTTTGTTTTTCAGGGCAGGGTTTCTCTGTGTAGCTTTGTAGACCAGGCTGGTTGAGTATTTTTTCTTTAAAAATGTATTTTTCAGTGGTTAAGGGCTGGAGAGATGGCTCAGAGGTTAAGAGCACCGACTGCTCTTCCAAAGGTCCCGAGTTCAATTCCCAGCAACCACATGGTGGCTCACAACCATCCATTATGAGAACTGGTGCCCTCTTCTTATGTACAGATATACATGAAAGCAGAATGTTATATGCATAATAAATAAATAAATAAATAAATAAATAAATAAATAAATAAATAAAATCTTTAAAAAGAAAAAAGAGTGCATACTGCTCTTGGAGCAGACTTGGTATCAGTTCCCAGCAAACCACATGGGGTGGTTCCAACCACCTGTAACTTCAGTTCCAGGGGAATCAAAAACCTCTGAACTCCTGTGAGACAAATGAACTCACGTACATACTAACACACACTCTCTCTGATCTGCATCTCCCTGTGAACAAATCATGTTGAGTATCTTTGGCACAAGAACAATGGGTTTCACTGTGACATTATTTTCTACATTCACAACATACATCCATCCTATCACCTCTTGAACCTTTCTCTTCTCAGATACCCCCTATATTACTTTCATGTTTATGTATCTTCCCTAGAGTGTGTGTGTGTGTGTGTGTGTGTTGTGTGTGTGTATGTGTGTGTGTGTGTAACTTTATTCAGTTGTCAGTGGTCACCTAGGATGATTAAATACCTTGGGTATTATGAATCAAAATGTCACAAACACAGGTATCCATGTGTCTCTACTGTGTGCAGATGAGCTGTAAATGGGAAAAGTGGTATGTTTTCCTCACACATTCTGGAGAAGACACATTCAAGTGTGGTTACTAGACTGCTTCTTTCTTTCCAGAAGGGAACAGCAGCACAGCTGGAAGCAGCTCTAAGGAGCCTCTTTCAGAACAGGCAGTCTCTAGCTATCAGTATTATTAATGAGAGCTTTAGCAGAAACTCACTCCAACATCTTCAACAGACACTGCTGACCCACATTCCCTGCTTAAAAACTCCTTAGCTAAGCAGGCAAACTCCACTGCAGGAAC